GGGACAAATCTTTCATTGCTTTATCAGATTTTTAGTCAAATCAGTTGGTGTTTGCTAGAACTGGGGTGCGCAGTATATTTCCTACTCTTAACCTTCAATGTTTCTCAGAATTCATTCTTCAATATTTTTATTTTTTGGTATCAGGAATCAAACTCAGGACCTTGTGCTCGCCAGGCAGGTGCTGTGCTGCTCAGCTATGCTCCCAATGCCTCATTCTTCAATTTTGGGGAATACAAACTTGGCATATTGGACATGTAACAAGTAGGGAGTTATATTTCCTTTATATCAGTCAGAGGTCTTATATCATTTCTTTTAACAGTTCAGGCTGGGCTTGAACTCTCTGTTGAGCCAGGCTGGCCTCAAGAAGGGATCCTCCTGTCTCAGCCTTCCAAGTGCTGAGATTATATGTGTGCACCACCAAGCCTGGCAACACCTCAGGTTTGAAACAAGGATTTCTTTCACCATCCCACTCCCAGTACATCAGGGCCTAAGGTGAGGCAGGCATCCTGTAATTTGGTTGGCCAGCTGGTTGGGTTTTAGTGCCGGCGCAGGCATGTGAAAATGTGCTCTTCTAGCATATTCGGTGACTGTAATAATAACAACAGAAGATTGAGGTAACAGGAGAGAGACCATCACCTTTCCTTTCCTTTCTTTTCTTTCTTTTTCAGTGCTCAGAATGGAGCTCAGGGCCTCAGGCTTCAGCCGGATTACTGAACTACAACCTCAGCCCCAAGGCCAGTTCTTTATAACTCAGTGCTGTGTTCTCTTGAGGAAATCTTGTCAGTTTTTTTTTTTTTTTTTTTGAAGTAAGATCTTGTTGGCCTCAGTCTCAGGGTGATCCTCCTGCCACAGCCTCCTGAGCGCTGGGATTACAGGAGTGCGTCACCACACCTGGCTCTTGAGGAAATCTTTAGCCGGTATTTTCATCTCAGTAATATCCAGAATTTAAAATTTAAAAAGAGCTATTAAATTGATCAGACCAGGAATGCTTAGTACAAAGCATTCTTCTCTGAAAATAAATTTGCTTTAAATGTTGTTTGAAGCTGGGTGTGGTGACACACACTGGTAATCCCAGCACTCAGGAGGGTGAGGCAGGAGGATTGCTACAGATTTGAGGCCAGCCTGGGCTACTTAGTGAGATCCTGTTTTGAAAAAAAAAGTTAACCAGGTGTGGTGGCGCCTGTAATCCCAGCACTCTGGAGGCTGAGGCAGGGGGATCACTGTGAGTTTGAGGCCAGCCTGGGCTACAAGGTGAGCTCAAGGCCAGCCTGAACTGCATAGCGAGACCCTATCTCAACAAGACAAAAAAAAAATGTTTGAGGAACTACACTGAAGACAGAGTAAAGGAGTCAATTGATCAAGAGCTAATTGTGCAAGCAGCGTCTGACCTAACTGTATCTGATTTGATGTTTTAAAAAACAAACAAAAATAGCCTTTCAGAAGTTTTTGAACCTAGTTGAGTAACAGTCAGCCCCTCCCCTTCTCAGAAGGTCTGTGACCTAAGCATGGGTGTTCCCAGAGCAAACACTGCCTTCGGCCAGGTCTACCAGGGCCAGATCCCCAGGCAGGCTAGCGCTGGTCTACTTGTCCTTGTGTTCACTGTTGTTTTTTTTAGTACCGGGAATCAGACTCAGGACCTTGCATTTGCCAGGCAGGCACTTGTGCCCCTGAGCCGTCTCTCCGGCCCCTGTTCATTGTGTTTTGTTTTGAGACGGGGTCTAGCTGTGTCTACACCACAGGGTGGCCTTAAACCTTGATCCTCTGGTTCAGGTTTCCCAGTGCTGGGGTTACAGGCAGTACCACCATGCCCGACTTTACATGTCCTTTTTCAATTGCTGATTCACAATGCAGCAGGGTGGGTGCAGATCAGAGCCAGGAACAGTTATAAAGCTGAACGGTAAGAGTGTGTGTGTGTGTCCAGTTTCTTGGGAAATACTGAAATTGGAACCATCTCAAGTGTTCTTGAAGGAGAGGGTATAGAAAGAGGTGTAGTTCAGGGAAGCAGGCGACACCGAGGTGTATTCCCCGGGATCAGCTGTGCAGGGAGCTCAGAATTTCCCTTCCCTGGCAGCCCCAGACAATCTATGTGAAAGAAGTGGGTAAGAAGGATGAGTCAGCAGACAGCCTGGGGGAAGCGGTTTGGGTTTGGTCATTTTGGAAAGTCCAGCCCTGGCCCGGGGCTCCCTGTGGACTCATCCGCACAGGAAGGGGAGAGCTGGAGTGGTGGAGCTGGAAGGCCCCTGGGGAGGTCCCTGGTCTCAGCCTTCCAGCCCAGCACTCTACAGGTGCAGGAAACGTCTGGTGTGGACGTTCTCACAAGCACTAGCGAACTCCTCCATGCTGGGAGCCAGCTCCTCGGTCAGGACCTGGTACCTTCCATACCTCTGGCCTTCCTCGAGCTGCCCTGCTCCCAGACCAGTACCGGCTGAGGAGTACTCAGTCCTTGCTTACCTGAGCAGAGCTTCTGGCTTTTTTTTTTTTTCTTTTTGAGAAGAGGCCTCACTATGCAGGCTGGCCTTGAACAGACAGTGATCCTCCTGCCTCAGCCTCCTGAGTGCTGGGATCACAGGTGTGTGCCAGCATACCCAGCTTGCTTCTGGCCTCCCCCATGTTTTGCAGTACTGGAGAGTGAACCCAAAGCCTCTTGTATGCTAAGCTTGTGCTCTATTATTGCTCTATATCTCCAGTCTTTTTTTTTTTTTTTTGAACTCAGGACCTTGTGCTTGCCAGGCAGGCACTTGTGCCACTGAGCTAAATCCCTGGCATTCCAGTCCTTTTTATTTTTTGATATAGGCTGGATTAGAACTCGCAGTCCTCCTGGCTCAGCCTCCTGGAGTGCTGGGATTACAGGCATGTGCCAACATGCCCTGTTTTCTATGAGATTCCCTTCTTTCATGATGGATTTCCCTTGATTCCATCCACCCTAGGCTCTCACCCTCTGCCCCTGACACAGGTGTGTGAATCCACAACTATCAGGGCCAGCCCCCTTGATCTTTTTCTCCCTGCATTCCTCAGGTGACCTCATCCTCTTCAATAATTACAATCCCCTTAGCTACAGCTTTGCCTTTATTTATTTGTTTTTTGCCTTGAGACAAAAGAGCTATTCTGTAGCTCAGGCTGGTCTTGAACTTGCAATGATCCTCCTGCCTCAGCCTCCCAGAGTGCTGAGATTACAGCACACCTGGCTCATGTAATACATGTAATCTCATCTACCTTCCCATAAAACCTCCTTTGCTGCCATCTTTCTCCTAAGGCCGCTGTCTTGGGCTGGGGCGTAGTCCAGTGGTAGAGTGTATACTGGGCATGCAGAGGCCCTGTTCAATCCCTTGCACCAAATACGGCCAGCTTCGTCGGAGTCCCTTTCACACACCATACTTCTTGCCTTTTCACCTAGCACCAGCTATTTCCTTGATTTCAGTTCCTCTTGTGAGTTTACTGTCATTTCCTCAGGACACAATCATGACCCTTCTGTTCTCCAACCGCCCTATCCTATCTTATGGAACAGACTCTTGTCATAGTTAGTTCCCCTGCCTTCCTGAGGTACCCAGGGAAGCCCAAGTCACAGGGCTGCGGGGGCAAGTTGACGATGAGCAGTGCTCTTGGGGAAAGGGAACCGTGGGTGGTAGGAACCGCGGGGCTTAAGCGTCAGGGGAACTTAGGGCACTCAGCCCCACCACGGCCACCGCACCTCCCAGACCTCACCGGCGGGAAAGTGGGCTGCTAATCCACAGGTGCAGTCGAGACTGCAGGGGTCCTGACAGAACACACAGGCTGGGGCCTAAGGGGGAGCAGTCTCGTTACCTCTAAGGGGACTGGAAGCTGAGGGAGGCTAGGTGAACAGCGTGGCCTGTGCCTGTAATCCCACAATGTGAGGGGCTGAGGTAGGAGGGAGCAAGCTCAAATTGAGCCTAAGCAATTTAGTGATTTAGCAAGATTCTGTCTCAAAACCTAAACTCAGGCTGGGTAGATATAGCTCAATGGCCCAGTGCCTGCCTGGTAAGCACAAGGTTGTGAGTTCGATTCCCCGTACCAAGAAAAAAAAAACATTAAGGGGATGCGGGTGTGGTGGCACACAACTATAATCCCAGCACTTGGGAGGCTGAGGCTGGATGCTTGGAGTTCTGGACTGGTCTGAACTCTGCACTGAGACTCCGTCTCAAACAAACACCAAAATAAAGAATTTAACTCAGGGGGAAGGCCCTGGGTAAAATTCCCAGTACCAAAAAGGAGAAAAAAAAAAAAAAAAAAGCTGAGAGACCTTGTAGCCAGAGGGATCCAGCTCTAGCGTAGGGTCAGAGCGACTGCAAAGGGCCCTTGGAGACCTACGGGCAGACAGTGGGGCACTGCAAGAGCGCTTTGCTTAGGGCCAGAGGCAAAGCTCTTGAAGGGTTGGTGGAGACAGGGTCTTGAGCCACCAGTATGGGCAGAATTGCTGGGACCCAGAACTTCTGGCCTATGCTGATACCACTCAGACGCCTCCGGGTCTTGCTTGTCCAAGGATAAACTGTGCCCTGCCTGTGACAGGACTGGCTTTAGGTGTGTCTTGAGAGATTACTGGGGGGAGGCTCAACAGACGGAGGGGGTGGATCTGCGTGGCAGCAGCTGGCTACTGAGATATGGCTCCATCCTAGGAGTGCGGGGCACCCGACAGTCAGCCAGTTAAACGCACACTGTTTACACACTGAACACGAGTGGCAGCAGCTGTCAAAACTGACAAAAAGGGAAAGACAGAGCAAGGATAACGCAGACTTACGAACACCCAAGTTTCCAACTGCGTGAAACAGGCTTGTGTGGGCCTCACACCCGGAGGGAGTCCAGTCTGTGAGCAGAGCCTGTGTTTCGCGAAGGTCATCTCTGGGTCAAACTCGTTCTCAGAAAGGAGAGCGCCACTACTGGGATTGGGGGCCCCAGGGTGCAGACAGGAGCTCACATGTGGGGGTAGGCGCCCACCCCGAGGGCAAGGCGCCCCGGACTGGCACTGCCACAGAACACACGCGCAGTTGTGTGACACCCAGCACTTTATTGCGGGGAACTCACTTGGTCTGGGAGAGTGGAGGGGGGGTGGGCAGGGCCGGTGGCGCCTCCGGGGGTTACGGGGAATCGGATGTTGCTCTATGCAGGTTGGGAGCAAACCTCTTCATGGATGAACCCTCGGAGGGCAGCTGGCCCCTGCCGGGCCGGGACGGGAGGGGGCCCTACGCCGGGCCGGGGCCCGCGGACAGCAGGGCCTCGATGTCGGGCTCGATGTCGATGGTGGGGAAGCGCCGGCTGTACCTGCGCACCGGCACGCCGTCGGGGCCCACCAGGAACTTCTCGAAATTCCAGGCCACGTCGTTGCGGCACACCGGGGACCAGATGATGGACCTGGGGTCGCTCATGAGCGCGGTGGGGTCGTCGCTGGGCGCCGGGAGGGCCTCCCGCAGGAAGGCGAAGAGCGGGTGCGCCTTCGCCCCGTTCACCTCGCACTTCTCGAAGAGAGTGAAGTTGGGCTCGAA